GGGAGTCTGCTTCTCCCTCTGACCCTCCCCCCTCTCATGCTCTCTCTATCTCATTCTCTCTCTCAAATAAATAAATAAAACCTTAAAAAAAAAAAAAACCTGTATTAGTTTGGGGCACCAGGACGGCTCAGTCAGGAGAGCATGTGACTCTTGATCTCAGGGCTGTGAGTTCAAGCCCCACGTTGGGTTCAGAGATTACTTAATAAAATCTTTAAAAAAGAAAAAACTGTATTAGTTTCTATGTTTTAAAGGGAGTGATAGCTTTACCTGGTCTTTCCACTTTTATAACTTCTGCTCCAAGATCTCCTAAATTCATAGTAGCAAAAGGTCCCGCCAATACTCTACAATATTAACAATGACAAATAATTACCACTTTGAAGATTTTTATATTAATTCTTAATAGCTCATTAACATAGACAAGCTCATATAATGCTAGTAAAAATTAAAACTATTAAAACTGTTCAGAGTAGCAATTTGGCCTTATGTACTAAGAGCTTTATAAAGTATATTCCCTTGGGGCACCTGGGTGGCTTAGTCGGTTTAGCATCTGCCTTCCGCTTGTGTCATGATTTCAGGGTCCTGGGGATCAAGCCCTGCATCTGTGCCCTGCTCAGCTGGGAGTCTGCTTCTCCCTCTGCCCCTCCCCCATCATGCGATGCACATGTTCTCTCTCTCTCAAATAAATAAATAAATAAATAAAAACTTTTAAAAAAAAGTATATTCTCATTGATGCAGTAATTCCACTTCCAGAATTCTATGCTAAGGAAGAAATCCTAAGATTTCCTGAGGGAAAAATTTATGTAAAAGGAAACCTAATTTATAATTGTGAAATATTGGGGGATGAGTAATTATGTGACAACTATATAATAAAGTATCATCTTACCTTTTTCTCAAATTTTGAATGACATGGAAAAATACGTAAAATATAACATTATCTTTTAAATGTGGGTAAAACTGTAATTTCATTTTTTTTAAATATTTTATTTTTTATTTCAGAGAGAGAACATGAGCAGGGGAAGGAGCAAAGGGAGAAGGAGAAGCAGACTCCCCACTGAGCAGGGAGCCTGATGCAGGGCTCGATCCCAGGACCCTGAGATCATGACCTGAGCCGAAGGCAGACGCTTAACCAACTGAGCCACCTAGGTGCCCCTAAAACTGTAATTTCAATATGGTTCTAATTTTTATTTTTATCAGCACCATGCTCTAACCAACTGAGCTAACCACCCGCTCACTAATTTTTATTTTTAAAAATTATATATAAATATGCAGATTGGAAAAATGCACAAATACACTAATTGTCTCTTAGAATGATGAAATTATAAAAATTTTTCGGGCGCCTAGGTGGCTCAGTTGGTTAAG